AGCAGAAGGCGGTCCGACCAAGCAAAAACTGATACATCAAAAAGATCAATAAAAATGCATTGTCTGAATCCTACATGAACTTCACACATTCACATGCTCATGCAGCTCCAGGAGATTATTTAAGACTTCATCTTCCTCGGAAACTTCCAGATTCCTCACAGGAAAAGCTCCAACCCTGTGGCCTTCTTGTCTGAGTTGACAGTGAATTAGCTGAGCTTAAGTGTGGTCACTTCTGAAAAGCCATTATGCAAATTCTAAATAGAATCTAAAGGTCTGCAGTTATGAGCATTTTAATGCTGAGTGGTCCTCCAAAGTTTTGGAGAGGAGCGGACGGACATCTGATCCACTTCTCAGTTAGCATCAGATACATAGTGTGATTACAACCCCGGCAATCTTCATGTAGTCGTGTAAGATGCTAATTCAATTCTCTGCAATGTATCCATCTCATGAATTAGTGTTAGTGGCTTTGGCGTCAGAAAAATTACGCCCGTCTTTTCCCCCTGGGGGGAATCTGATCTTTGTTTACACCTATCATGGTCACCCCCGAGCATCCAGTCACACTTATCTACTGAAACAATATGTGTCCAAATACATGTGGCTCATTTACTTTCAGGATCAGGTAGCACAGGCATTACACGGCCATGCTGCATGTTTGGCTCAAGCTATTAGCTTTGGATCAGCGTGAAATTTTAGAAGTCCCTTCCTGCCCATATTGATGTAATTGTCGCTCTCTGGGGCTCTTTCTAATTTGTCTACAGGCACGCACACGATTGCGACGCTTCAAGGGAACACCAGCTTTGGCGCTTGAGCGCTTGGTGGGAAATTAGCTGTGAAGTAATCTGTGAAACACAAGCCATATCAGGCTTCCTACCAAATTTCAGAAAATTAGCTCTTTTGAAACAAGATTAGCCATTACTGGAGCTACGAGCACACCGCCACGTACCACTGACGAGTGATACGCTGCCATACTCGATTAGATCAGATGTCAGAGTTTCTTTCAACATTTCCAGCAAACAGAGTTTCTGAAAGCCAATATGCAGTCTGAGAAGTGTCTCTCAAGGTTACAGAAGTTTCTCTTAGTTGCGGCAATTAAATGTGCAAACCTTGAAAGTAAAGGTGTGTATGTGTGTCTTTATCAGATGGAGCCTCCTTGGAAAGGTGAAAATGAAACACTGTATAGCACAGGGATTGTGTTAATGTACGAATGCACATAATATGTTGCAGGATGAGCCTGTGCTCAGAGAAACTATAATGTACATAAATTTTAAAGA